CAACCCCCATTGCAGCAGAAATAATAAATTAATCATGCCCTCTGTGTTACCACAGCACAGCACTTATGTTGTATTACAGTGAGCTCTGTGTATGGGTTTATCATCATGACCCTGGAAACTTTTGAAAGTGGGAACAATATGTAATTCATTCAGTGCTTTGTTTATAACAGGTACTCAAAAGATGTTCATCAAAAACAAGTGAATAAAATCCTCTTAATAGAAGTGAACTCGTGTGATCACTCATCCATATCTCTATTCAACAAGTAATGTTACTTAGGATATATTTTGTGTCTTATTGCAAAATATTTTCTCAGAGACCTAGAGGTCATTGGAAATCTTTCAAATGCTTGACATCATGCAGTGGGCAAGGGCAGAGTAAAAGAGACAAGAAAACAACTCCTCCTGCTTAAAAACTTTGCTCTTGGCTATCTCTGATGCTAAACATATAGCAGGTGTTTGATGAAAAGTTGTTGAATGACTGAATGATTGATTGACTGATTGATTGTAGCTGAAGTTCAACTGTTTTCTGTCATAGCCGGTGATAAAAATACCTACTAAAATTTTCATCTTCTACAAAAACTTCCTTATGAAGTCAAGTTTTGTCCTGACAACTAACCCACACAAGACTGATGTCATTCCTCACTAAAACATTCAAAATTTCTTGTATGCATATCTTTATTTTTTAAATACATCCATTGATGTTTATGTAGTATTTGTGCATACTTTGTGCCCCTTCCTTTACATGTTAATTTTCTCAACATGAGAGAAAAACATTTTATCCCTGAACTAAAAAACTATATATTTTTGCTTCGATAAACCAGGAAATTTGATTAATTGTTTTTCACCAGGATAAGGACCATTTACATTAACAATGATTGGCCAGAGGCAGTGCAAGTTCTGGGGCTCCTTCTGAAGTCTCATCAAATGACAAAATTGCATTGGGAGTCATGCTAGTATCAAGCATGGATGACCATATCCATAAGTTCTTCGGCTTTCAGAACTGGAAGAGACTTTAAGAATAATATATTTCAAGTTCACTGCAAGGATCCCTTAAAAAAAAAAAATCTGGTAAAATCTGTCTAGATACAACCAGGACAGAAATCATCTTCCTCACAGAGCACCTATTCCATTTCTGAAGAAGTCTAATTCTTAGAATGCACTTCCATTTACTAAGCCAAAATCAGATTCCCTGAACTTCAAACATTGATCCTGGCTCTAGCCTCTAGTGTTTCAAAGATTTAATCTGATCCCTCTTCAAATATTGAAAAGCAGCCATGGTTCCCTCTAGATATTTTCCAGGACAGTCTATAAACCTGACTAAATCTGTATCATCCAGCACACATGTGTCTATTAACCACAAGGACATCATGAGAGATCACTTCAAAGGCACTGCTCATGTACTAATGCCAGTATTTCTTTAACCACCAATTAAATAAGCAAAGTGAATTGGTCATGATTGCTGCTAAGAAACTCACGTTGGCTTAGTGAGCACTGCCTACTTTTGGGTGCACATATGTAATCTGCTTAATAATTCATTTGGCAAGTGGCACATTTTGTTTCATTCGGTATCAGTCACAATTCAACTAGGGGAAGGTGGGTCTCTAAGTATTTAAAACAGTGGAAGGGAGTGGATTTAATACAAGGAATTGGTTACACAGATGCAGAAAGACTCACTGAATAAGGAGTGGGGAGGCAACCCAGAGATGAGAAAAGCAGGAAGTCACCAGGTTTTCTAGGCTAGAGAAGAAAAAGCAAGAGCCTGTGATACCAGGGCCAGGGGTTAGGGTCACCCAGAGGAAGATGGAACTGTGACAGGAATGTAGAGCAGGAGTTACAACTATATAGAGAAGACACTACTTGAGACATTTCCAGAAATATCCCCTGAGGCACAGAGAAACAAAGGAAAATAACCTGGTTTGCCCCTTCCTCCAACTCTTTATTTTTCCACTGGGTTTCCCACTGGCTGAACCCACTAGAGAGTCAGCTGACCCAGAAATCTGGGAAATGCAGCCAGTGGAGGTGAGGGGTGCAGAGCAAAGCAGGGGAGGGGTGGAAATGGGTGCCTTTCCTCATTTCTCCATGATTCTTTAAAGACACCACACTTAGAGAATTTCTCAGTACTTCTGATAACTACCTTAATTATAGCACTTATTTCATTATGGTTTGTTTTAGAGGTTTCTCCTCACATAAGTGTCTTTCCTAAACCTGAACATGCATGACATAACTGTGTTGTCATTCTTGTTGTCATTTGCTTTTACCAGTGTGTTGCATACAGAAAACACTAAATTAATACAATTTGTCTGATTTTGGAAAAATCTATTATCCTCCCCCCAAAAGCTCTTTTGTTATTGCCTCCCTTGTTTGAGGTTCAATTTCTGCCTAATCATGTTTGCATTATGTTTTTTAGTTTATGATTAGTGTTAATAAATAATTAACTGGAGTTAAGTAGATCCAATTTTCCTTCTTAGAGGGTTCACTCAACAGTATCTGCACTCATTGTTTTTCTAACAATACACACCCAACTTTTACTGTTGTGAAGAAATGCACCATGAAAATGTTCAACTGGCATTTAAATGATGCATATCAAAAGACCCTTAACATATTTTTATTTTTAAGTAATTCTCTTTTTATCTTTTGGGATTTCACTATAAGAATATTTATATGGTATCCCTGGCACAAAAATTATAACATTTAACAGCCAGGTAGCTTTATAAAATCATCAATCAGCTGACTGAGTTTATAAATTTAACTAATCTTTCTCCCAACAACATGGCAGGCTTTAACAGTGATTGACAGAATTGAACAGCAATTGCATCATTGTGTTGATATGGGATGCATATCCAGCTTTTCCTGACTGTCCAAAGTAATCATTTTAATCACAAACACTAGACTGGCTCCTTAAATGGTGATGTACAGAGCTCTGCTATCCTATACAGTACACTCTGGCCAAGGGAAGCTACCAAAACCTTACGATGTGGTTCTTCTGAATTGGCTAAAGCTATAAGCACCAAATGCACACCAAATTTCAAAGACCCAGTATGGAAAAAAGAATGCAAAAACACCTTATTCATACTTTACATTGATTCTGTGTTAAAATGCTAGTAGTTTGGAAATATTGGGTTCAATAAAGTGTTATTAAAATTAATGTCATCTGTTTCTTTTTACTTCTTAAGTTTAGTTTCTAGAAAATTTTAAAATATGTATGTGGCTAGCACCTGTGGCTTTCTTTGTATTTCTTTTGCATAGTGTTGGTCTAGAGCAAATGAAGAAGTGAGTGTCTGCGGAGACAGGGCATAGCAACTAACGGAGAAGTCATCTCTCCTTTTAATTAGTTTTGTAATAGCAACAGATTCAATGTCAGACATTTAGAAGAGACAATACTATTCTCCTCAGTCAAGCAAAACTCCCACTGTGGTTCCTAAGAGTTCTGCCTGAGTGAACCAAATGAGATTAAGCCCATGATGTTTACTTTGTACTAAAATGTTTTCTCTTTTCTGAAACTTTCTTAGTATAGTGTTGGCTACCAGGCTGTAGAAGTGCAGCATAGAGAAAGGATGAAAGAACAATAAAGGAACAATTTGAAAGTGTTGTTTTGAAACATGTAACTAGTGCTGTCAGCTGCTGGTTCTTTCCATTTTGTACATTTACATTTCCTGACTATAGTTTAAGAACATTTCACTGCGTGTTACTATCAATCATCCTTAACCTAGAATTGCACTGTACATTAGTAACAGTTAATTGGCATATTTAAAGTAAATAGCTACTTAGTTTTGTTGTGAAGGTTTTGCATACAAATCTATAACACCACACGCTTTGTTTGTTTCAATAGCAAATATCCCTGTCTACAACATTGCCACTTCTGTCAGTAGCTGAATAGAGGTGCAATCACATTGAAATACCCTGCACATGAGGCGACAGCCTAAATGACGAGCAACGTGTAAGCAGGCACTCTTTGCCCATCAAATGATGCCCACAAAGAGGGAAGAACACAGAGACATGAAAAGGAGAGGCAATGTGAAGTTTTAGAAGGATGGTCCAGGAAGAAGAGGGAAAAAATAAAACAGAAATTATTATTTTGCCTCCATGTTTTGTACACGTTAAGGAGCTAGGGGAGATTATTTAGCATACGTTGATTTGGCCTCTGCCATTTATGCAAGGCCAGGTTTACTCAGCAAGCAACATACTTCCCAAATCTCAGGGGGACGTGTCATTCTGCTCCTCATTCCCTCAGAGTCCATAGCAAGTGGAATTGTCCCTCTCCCTTGGCAGCGGGGCTAAATTGGGAATGGGTTAGGTATTTGACGATAGAAGATAAAATGAAAAGGGCTTCTTTCCAGCTGTGAAGCTAACACATCTATGAGATATGTCTGAAAAATAAACAATCCACACTGTATTTGGGGTGAATGCCAGAGGCTCCTAGACCTAGAGAGATGAATCTTCACCCGAATCCCAACATTTTCTTTACTACCTGCACCAAGGAGTCAAAAGAGACCATCTGGTAGTTATGTGTGTTTATAGGTGTGTGGGGGCTGTTTGTGTGTGAGTGTTTATGGGTATGTGTACGCGTTGTGAATTAGATGAGTTGCCACCCTTTCCCTTAGCCGTAACTCTGTAATAGGATTTCCATAGAAGCAACAATATAAACAGTTGTCCATATGGATCATTTTCACAGTCCGTAAAAATGCTATAAACTGACAAAAGGTTTAAAATAAAATTAACAGTATCACTAATAATAGTACAATTAGGAATCAGAAATCGCAATGATAGTATTGTTAGCACTAAAAATATATATATATATTACAACCCTATTAAGAAATTAAAGGAGAAAAAAAAAGAAAAGTTTTTATGGAGATAACCTGAGAAGATTTAATCACTACTCATTTTTTATTTTATTTCTTTGATGAAATTCAAATCTGAAATACCAAAAACACGTTTTACTTAAAATATCATTTCGATACATCAACATTACGTAGGCTTTATTACTTTTTTAATGGGCTAACCTGTGGCTCTGGCATTTTTCAAATGTTTGCAATATGCCAACACATCCTGCAAAGGCAAGAGGGTTCTGAGCACATGTCCTTCATCCACTTCCATATACTACATTCTACCTTGAAAGGAAAAAGAAGAAAAGTTGCACTGGTGTTATCTCAAACATGAGAAAATGTGAAGAGGGGAACTTCCTTTCCTAAATACAACAATCAGGAAGAATTTCCCATCTGTTCTAAATTTCTAATATTGAACTCTTCAGTTGAGGTCCACAGTCTTTCCTGGTTCACTGCACATTTCTAAATAGATGTTTTGCCAGCACCAACTCAAAATTAAAAAGCCAGAATTCCTAGTGTTTTTGAAGCTCTTTATCCAATGAGTCTATCTTATGTGAACTGGTAGCAACACCATCTAGGCTGATACCAGGCTTAGGGCTGCACATATCTCCTTGTTACATGGCCCATTCAATTCAGGACTACATCTCATCCCTTCTCCTGTGTAAGTTCTGTGTTCCTTTCCTTTCACGGCTATCATTAAAGCTGTGATGTTTAATGCATAACTAGATTATTGCTATAACCTCCTCTTCATAGGGGGATCCATTGTCTCTATTGCAATGCATCTTACATAAAATGATGGAATTATGGACTCTAAAGTAATGCCTTGTAAACAGTCTGAACACAGTTAGTGAACATGGTTTTTATTTCCTCCAACCCATCATGGACTGATACTTTGGTAAACTAAAATAAAATGAACTTTTGGAAAAGTGATCATATGCTTGGAGGGCCCAGCTATGTCAGGTTGCTGTAGAAGTTTCTAAATACTGGCTCTCAATTTCTGTATTTGTCTCATCAGAGTTGTTGATCAAAATCAGTGTGCAGACCACACTCTGAGAGCACCAGTGAGCTACATTCTATCAAATCACCATTATTTTCTAGGCTCACCATTTACATCACTCCAGTCCAAGCACCAAAAGTCAACCTAAAACTCAATTGTCTGTTCAGATGAGTTGCATCTAGAAAATACATGAAAAGGTTCTTTCTCTCCCACTAAATATCCTCCAATCATAAAGCACTTTAGAATCCTGTGTTAGATAAAATTGTCAAAGATTTTATGGCAAAGAGGTACCAATACCTTCATCAAAGTATGGAAGCGCAGGAGGATACTTGAAAACACTGTGGCCACAGAAGTCTTATAGAGAAGCAGAAAAATGACCAAAAACAAACAAACAAAAATCCCATCCAAGCTTATTAAAGAAAATTTTAACAATATTTTACAAAAGGGACATAAAAACTGTATCAAAGTTCTTGTCACTAAGATGACCAAATTCAGTAAAGGCAATATAGAAAAAAAATTGTTACATAATAAAGTTCTTCTGTGCACTATCCCTTTACATCTAGCAAGTTTTATAAAAGTCAAACTGTTCATTTTGTGTTATATAAGAAAAATATCCAGATGAATTTCTGAACTTTCAACCATATTCACTGATGTCAATATGTTGCAGAGATGCAAAGAGACATTTCAGTGAGACACTCACCTTCCAGCTATGCCTGGGTATATCATTTGTCTTAAGGACTAAAATTCAGGGATAACAATACCCACTCATCCATAGGCTCAGAGTCATAATAATCTCCTTCTTTCTGGATTCCATTGCTTGAGCCAGATTACTTTTCATACTGTTTCTTCATATACTTTGCAACATGATCACATCGTATTTTTCTTCAAAACTCTGGCAGATTGTTTGGGCTAGAGATAGATGGAGACAAGAGGCACCATCTGGTGTAAGATCTTTATTCCTTGTTAGCACTACAGGAGTTCTGGTATTTTACATGGTTCAAGCAGTAGCAACAAATTTTTTAAATGCATAGATTGAGAAGGTGTAAGATGGTCAAATGGCCCTTGGCACCGTCTGAGCACATCACTGGTTTCACTGGTGTAGAGTTGGGTTTTTTTGTTTTGGGTTTTTGGGTTTTTTTTCCAATTCAGACAACCAGTGGCATATGGTTTCATGATTCACAAAGATGGTCCTTGACTATAGATTTGACGATCTCAACACAACTTCCAGGCTTGCCAGAGCTGTGTTACAGCAGAGAGAGCAAATAGCTCATGATATTTCTCCTCTGATGAGTAAGCTCCAAAATCACAGGTTTAAATTTGATCTGGGATTGAAAGAAAAGGAACCATGTCCTCCCATGCCAGTATCCATGCTTTTTCTTTGTCAGAGGTGAGTATTTCTGCATCATTGATCCATGGTTTCAGGGAACAAACGCTCGAATAATGCCCAGGTTAATTCTGTTGATTTAGACTGAATATATACATTTGCTCTTTTCTTTATCTTTCTATTCTTTGGAACTCCAAGCCTTTCCTGAACTTGAGCTATAGTTCTAAAAATCTAGCAACCATTTAATAGAATGTTTTTTCACCTTCCACACACAAAGTAGAATGTTTTCTAATGGAACTAGCTAAGAGTTGGGTGCCAGGAGATTTGCTCAGAAGCTAACTCACAGCTACCTTGCGAAGATAAGTGAAAAAATGAACTGGAACGGTGCTTTGGAAACAAACTAAAACATCAAAAAATGGGGCTTATACAAGTTAATCTTGACTAGGGGCGCCTGGGTGGCTCAGTCATTAAGCGTCTGCCTTCGGCTCAGGTCATGATCCCAGGGTCCTGGGATCGAGCCCCTCATCGGGCTTCCTGCTCCGCGGGAAGCCTGCTGCTCCCTCTCCCACTCCCCCTGCTTGTGTTCCCCCTCTCGCTGTGTCTCTCTCTGTCAAATAAATAAAATCTTAAAAAAAAAAAAGTTAATCTTGACTGCAATTCACGAATAAAGTTAAAGGAAACCTCACCTGTTGGCTCCTGATTTCAGAAGGCTACTAAAGAAAAAGTGAAGGTACACCACTGTCTTGATAAAGTAGGAGAAAGCAATCTCCATGTTGAGATGTCCACCTCCTTATCTCTCAACTTATCTGAACAACAGAGTTACTGCTATTGGAATGTATTGCCAAAAATTTGAAGTATCTTTCTAAGGATCACATTAATGCCATCTTAATCTCTGTGAATTGCTCTGCTATTACCCTATACAAATGTGGTCTTCATTCTCCTCCCTCCTGTCAGCCATTTCCTTTGATTCTTTTGTTAATCCTAAATTAAACCCTCACTTCTCTTTCATGCTTCCTCCAAATGCTTTCTTACCTGAAGATTCACCTTTTTACACAGTTTTCTGGATCCATGAATTATGACTTTACTGAGTCCTTTGACCACTTATCCCTGCCATCCACCACTCCTTCACCGAAAGCCTCCTTTTTTTTTTTTTTCCTGATATCATGAAATGGTGCAGATATCAGTGGGGATGATTTGAAATGAATAAGGAAAAGAAGAAATAACAGAACATAAATAGGATGCTATGTTGAAGAAAGTAGATGTCAATATGACAGCAGATGGTGTAGATAAACTCACTATTAATATGGTCAACTCGTTGTATTTGCCACATGGCTGCAATTATAAACCATACATATAACTCAGAAGTCTAACAAGCTCTGCAGGTGGTTATTCATTAAAGCTCTTTAGTCAAGAGCTATGCAAGAATCGATTCTTTTTGTATTTGTCCAACAGGCAGAGTGCCTCACAATGTAGAGGTCATTTTTTTTAAAAGCTAATGATTTGTAAACAGTTTTATTTTTATGTTAGCAGCAAACAATCTCCTTCAAAGTTCAGAGGAGAGATATCTGTATACTCCTGACATGCCTTGGTTTCAATTCTGTAATAAGACTCTGCTTCTTCTTGAATCACATGCCCCAGAAAGAAAAAGTGAAGGTACACCACTGTCTTGATAAAGTAGAAGACAGCAATCTCCATGTAGCAGTTCATTTCTTCTCTACTCTGTATGTTGGAGATGAAACAGAAGTTGGAGTCCAGGGAATGACCGATCATTATTGGGCCTTAAATTATAATAACTTCCCAAAATACTGGCTTGGGAGATAAATCTGAAGCTGGTGACAAATTTAGGATCCAAGGTGCTGATCAACAAATAGATCATTTCAAAATCTCCAGTGGTTCCCTGGTGAATATAAAATAAAGGCCACACTTATCAAATTGATATTTAGAGCTCTCCATCGTCTGATAGCAACCTATCTTTCCAATGTTTAAACTACTTACATTTACTAATACCCCTCAGTTTCCTGTAGAAAAAAATCTAATCTGTAACTTAAAAACATTATATGGATTCCAGGTTCTACAATTTCGTTTATATGTAGCTCTTTTTGAGATGTCCACCTCCTTATCTCTCAACTTATCCAAACAACATCCTCCCTTTGGATCCATCCTACAGACTCATGCCATCTATGTTTCCTTCCCAGCTGCTTCAGACCTTGATACCTCTCTCCTCTGATCTCCTAAACAACTGATTTTCCAACCTACCCATAAGGCTGTTATCATGGGCTATCTTTGATTGCTAGTTAACATTTTTTACATATGTCCTGTCCTCTCTACCAAATTCTGCTGTGCCAGGTGCTATGATTAAGCCCAGAGTGAAAATTCCTTGGAGATAATTACTCACTTCTTTGTGCAACCTTTACAGAAAAGGCACTCATTGTATTTGTCAATGGATCATTTTATTGAATTCCTGCATTTTAAATATAAGTGCATGATCAATGTTAAATGTTCAACTCCAAATTTCTCTAACTGTAGAGATGTTTGCCAAATTGAATCTGGCTTTATAAAAGCATATTGCTAGGCATTAATGTAAGCCTGAGATAACACCCTAAAATCTAAGTTAGAAAAATACAGATTGAAAGCCCAAGCAATAAAGTAGAGATAAAATTTTTAAATTTCCTTTAAAAATCTGTGGTAAAGACATCTTTTTAAAATATAATTGGTTTTTAGACATCTTTTAATATAATTAATAGTCTGACTGTCAACACAGTATTACAAGACATTTTTTTAAAACAGATCTGTAGGATTTACTTCATCTGGTAGTCATAGCAAAAATAAAACATGCAAACTAGCTTGTGTTGAAAAGATGCTTAGACAAACCTGGTCAGTATATTCTCAGCTAAGCTCTGAAAGAAGCATTCTGAATAACCTAGGACAATGGAGCATTCCACAAGGAATTCGGGAGAGTAAATTAAGGAAGGTGACAGTGTCTAGAAAAATAAATATAGTGACAAAGACAAATTTTACACTAGCTGCAATGTGATTATATCCATATAGGACTACTGCACAAACTTTTTATACCAAAGTAAACATTCCATTCAGCCAAACAATTGTAAATTCAGTCAACCAACCAAGTGGATTGCCTCTATTCAATTGGCTAGTCGACTGAATTGACTGAATGTTTAAGCATTAAAAAATTTGGCTCAAAGAAAAAAAAATTTGGCTCATAACTTAAAGTGGCCTTAGAATGCACAGAGTATATAGCTGTAAAAACCATTTTCTCAGCTTAAAGTAAGTAACATACAAAATGTTGTGCCACAGCCCATCAGCTGTCCACCAAAGATGTGTGCTCCAGCCATAGCACAGAGTTGCTGCTAGCAAGTGGTTGGAGCCAGGAGTCCATTTCCCAGCCCCCCTGCATTTAGGTGAGGCCCCTGGCTACTTCTAGTATTAAAAAAAGAAAACAAAGAAAACAAAACAGAGAGAGAGAGAGAGGAGAGAGAGAAAGAGCCTAAGTAGTGTGGGCAATTTGGGGAATAAAATGGTTAAAAAAACATTGTTGTCTTCTCCACACTTCCTCTTTCCCTACCTGCCCAGGCTCTTGTCTTTACGTGTTTGCATCATTGCTACACTATGGTCCTTGTGGTTGGAAGTGATTTTGTCATAAGGTAAGTGCATTAGTCAGCTCCGGCTACTTTAACAAAATAACATAGACTGGGTGACTTAAACAACAGACATTTATTTATCACAGTTCTGGAGGTTGGGATGCCCAATATCAAAGTACCCCCAGATTTGGCTCTTGGTGAGGGCTGTCTTCCTGGCTTGCAGAGGGCTGCTATCTTGCTATTTCCTCACATAGCCAAGAGAGGAAGCTCTGGTGTCTCTTCCTCTTCTTATAAGGATGCTAGTCCCATCATGGGACCTCCATACTTATGATCTTATCTAAATGAAATTATATCCCAAAGGCCCCACCTCCTAATACTATCACATGGGGGGAGGGGGTCTAGGGCTTCAATATAGGAATTAAAAAGTTGGGGGGCATGGGAGGGACACAAACAGTCCATAACTTTTATCTTCTCAAACTGGATATATATTAACTTCTATTAGTCTACTCAAATCTTCAAGACAGGTTTAAAAAAGAGTCCAGTTATCCAGTGAAAACTGAGACCAGTATCCATACACCATAATTCAACATTTGATGATAATAAAAATAATGCTGGTGGTGGTGATAATAAAAAGGTGATGATAATAAAAACTAAATGTTTTGTTGTTTGTTTTTAGAAAAGAGTCTTTAAAACAATTTGTTAAAATAACTGCTATGTTTAAAGGCTTCTCTTTTCAGTCTTTCAAAAAGGAAAAAAATAATTATTTCAATTAAAATTGAGTTAGGCAGAGCTTAAGCACTCTCTCTATAATTATCAGGGAAAAAAAAAAGACTGTTTGAGCCTGCTGCAGTTTATTCCCCCCAAGGCATTCACTGGGAAGGTCCCTGGGGCATTACTGTAGCCTAGTATTAAAGTTACCAATTCAAACTACAGTCCACCCAAGAAAGCCCCCTACAGAGCCCTTCCTATTATTACTCAGTGCAAAGAACTGCATTGTCTTCCTAAACACCTAATTTAGAATGAACTTACATGAGCTCTTATATGCACCACAGTCTTGTGGAGCCACCAACATTACTCTGAAGCTGGACCAGGATAAAATATAAAGTTAGGATCCTGTGAATTGCAAAGGAGTGAGACAAACCCGATGTGTCCATAAGATATTAGAAATGAAACATACTTTACCTAATTGTTCTACAATTTCTTTAACTGTTAACTGACGTTAACATTTACAAGGGAAAACAGTAACTTAAGCAAAAGTCCTATTTTTTTAATATATAAAAACTACTTTTCCTTGGTTTGAACTGACTTCCCCCTTTCCCCCCAACTTGTGCTATTATTTGGGGTTTCCATATATAATAGTGCTTCTGACCATTCTTAATTGCACCGTAATGGGTGTTAAGCACAGAAGTGTGTGCAAACAGACTCGACTTTTCTAGTCTTTGACTGTTCCTTGCCTCTGGCCTCTGTCAGAGAGGCTTGCTAACTACATCTCAGGGGAGCAATCACACAGCTTGACTCAGCCTGTGGCTCTGACTATTGGGACTTCCTGAAGTCACAACCACTTTGGCGTCCGGAACTGGGGCACGGTGTGTCTACTCTTCATAAAATCCAGAGATTGCAAGTGTGAAACGTGAGAGCTGATTAGGGATGCACCTTAAATGGTATCAAGGGATCCAGTTAGCAATGCAAAATATGAGATAATATAAACATAACATTCACTGCCAGTTGATCACTTATGTGAGCACCACGAAAAGCAAAATACAACAGAAAAAAAACTGCAAGTGAGCAACAAATAAAAGATTTCTTCAAAGATAATTTTGCATAAAAGTTCAATTTCATGGGGAAAAATGCATAATAAAATGATGTGGAATGATGTGCCAGAAAAAAATTGATATGTCTATTTGTCTTTCTGGAACTTACTCGGTATTAATCATTTCTAATGGGTATATCTAATCCTCTTTATACATACACTGTCTTTCTTGCATAGTATTGATTGAGAGAATTTGAAGTTAGAAGATGCAATTATTTTGGCTGTATTTAACCTGTTTCTGTGACTACAATAGAATGATTCCATTTTCCCTCTTAAAAAGTCAAAGTAATCTTGATTCAGGAATTTCTTTTTTTTAATTATCAGTTTTTAAGGAACATAACATCATGCTTAGCAGAAGGGCCCTTTCCTCCTCAGTATTCTTGTGTAGCTACTCTCCTGTCAGCCTAGGCTTTCAGAGAGAGGAGAAAAAAAGCTTCATAAAAGCTTTGGCCTAATTAACAAGAATGAACTAGATTTTATGATGAACAATTTATAGGCAGTTAATAGAGCTCATACACGGTAGCCAGGAGCTAGATAATTTATCATAAAAGGAATTTCAGTTACACTCCTAATCCCCATTCTCTTGATATTGCAACCAACTGCATTTACAATTTCCACTTTTATAAGCTTTGATTTACTGACAAATGATGCTGCATTTTATAGAGTCATAATGAAACTTATAAATGCAGGAAATACTTGTATCTCTGCCCATATGCTTCAAGTACTTTGCCAAACAATTTACTCTTCTACATTGTTATCTCTAGATGAAAATGATTTTTCAAAGATCTCCTAAGGATTCTTCATACTAGCACAAATAATAATAAAAGTAATAGCAAATTGTTTATTAACCATCCTAAGTATTTCTTGAAAAGAAACTGTTTTATCCCTAAAAGAACAACACAGCTGTTGTAATGAGTTATGAATGATAAATACTTTTCAAAATTATAAATAAGATGAAATAGCAAATATCCAAACATAATTTTTTAAAGGGCAGAATTTAAAGTAGGTGAGACCCAGGAGATCAGATTGTCTCTTATCATTTGGTGTCTTACTACTGTTCCTATTTTAAAATTATAACAAAATATGGCAGACATTGTGGGGGCAGAATTGGATGACTGTATATACACTATCATACCAGCTACATCTCCTCTATTCATTGATCTCTAGAGGAGTTCTTGAAGTCCTCAAATTAGGTTAACACTTCTTCCAGAAAGGCTCCCTTGACCATTGGCATCCCTTCTATACGCCTTCTTAGCATCCTATTCTTTTCCTCCTTTCACAAAAACAAATACAACTGTGTTGTAACTGCCTGATTAGCATTCACATCCCCCATTGACCATGAACTCTAAGACAGTAAGGACCACAATATCCCCACTCCAGAATCAAAACAATGTCTGGGACATAATGTATTTGTGAATGAGTGATGTCTTTGGTTTCCAAGCCTGTTAATATAAGTGAGAATAAATCATCCTAGTTGTATGATGCAGTAAT